AATAACCAATAGCCTTGTGTTTAGGGCATTCACATGGGACGTGATTCAGAGCAGGGACGTGAATCTGGGCCTCCCACATCTTTCTCTTGCTCTCTCTCATTGAAGCTATCTCGCTTTGTATAAATAATGAAATATTCATTGGTTCAGAGAAAGTAAGACTGACTTTATAGCATAGTGGTTGTAGAGCTCACTTGGGACATGGAACATCCAGGTTCAAGTCACTGCTCCAGTTCAGCGAGAGCTATTCTGGCATGGGTCTCCTTATTCTATCCTGGACCTGGGAAACTTTCTGGATGGAATTTTTGTGGAACCAGAAATGCTTCTGTGAACATTTCAATTTTGACAGATCAGCATTCTCTGATGAAAACACATTAAATCAAAAATTCCCAACCAGCTCTACTTGCACATACATGATTAACCTTATCATCATCAAATTTGATATGGGAAAAGAATTTCCCCTAAAGGTCTGGGGAGAGATGCTGCTGTCCTCTGTCTTTTTCAGGTTGGTAACTTCTTTCTCAAAGTCAAAAAATTTGCAACCACCTTCTGTTTACTAGAAAATTAAGAATAAAATATGTATCTATGATGACAATAAGCCTATCTAATGTATTTGTTTGGGTGTTTTGAGCATTAGACATAGAATACTTAACCTTCAAGAGTAAGGCATGCAAGGAGTAGGGGAGCAAGGTTTTCTTTGCTTAGTTTGTAATAAAATGTTTAATGTCTCGTGAACTTACCCCCCCACTTGCCTTTTATGAGCCCCATAGGGGTTGTGACGCACACCTTGAGAAACACTGCTCTACAGCACTAAACTAGGGTTGTCAATTAGGTTCCAAGTATGCTGAATTCAATGCACTTCTTGTGCTTGTAGTAGGCATTGGTGGATGCTGATTGTTCCTGACTTGTCTTTCAATGTTTCTATATTACATTTTCCCCACCCTCATTTCCTTTCTTCTTGTATCTTCCAACATAGCTTTCTCCCAACCCTCTGGGGTGTGTAGGAAACCATTTTGGGAGGAGGTACCATGTCAGTGTTCTGGCTGTCTGCATCTCCCCAGTAAATCATCTTCAATGTATTTCCTTTCTGTTTGGTTTGCTGTGCAATGCTGCAGTTTGCCCTCATTTTTATGCTTGCCTTGTGTAACCTACTTGCCAGGAAATGGCATTTTTCACAATAAGTATAATATTTTTTAAAAAAATTTAGACTTATTACTAATAAGACATAAAAACTAGACAGTTTTTGGACTACTTGTTGATTTCCCTGGAAGATGGTGACTTGCCAGTAAAACAGTTTCAATCAGTGTTTTCCCCTGTAGGTAATGCTATATTTAATAAAAAACCCTCTTGGAAAAGCAATACATCCAAAAAAACATGTATGTGTGTTATCCTGAAGAAAAGATTAGATTGGATAGTGGTGTCTATTGTCTGACCTATCTCATACCAAATAAATTCCCCTCTTTATATATCTAGACAGGATTACTATGTATAAATCAAGAGGCGGTAATTAGAAATGAATGAATGAAAGTCCCCACCCAGATGGCTTTCCTAAAGGAGTCCTCATCACCCATGCCATCTTACCTTTTCAAAAAGGTGTTTAGGTAAAAGATATTGTAAAGACTATCTTGATTCCAGGTTAACACCAGATGGAGTAAATATGACACAACATTTTCTTTTAAATTTATTTTGATACAAAGCACTTATCACTCACAGGCATGTGGTCCTAATCTTAAAGATAAATTGATTCATTCACTTCAAATACCACATAACCATTCACACACCATTGAGCTTAACACTATTAAAGGGTAATTTCCCCTGAAGGAATTGTGCCCGCTGCAGCAACATTTGTGAGTCTTTTTATCATACCAAGGCAGGTAAAGAGATTAAAATAAAAGGCTTCATCAAGTGTGCAATCACATACATACGCTTCGTTTTGAACTGTCCATGTGTTGAAGCAGCAAATAAACATTCCTGAACATCTGAACACTTCTGTACATAATAAGAAGAGCTGACTGTACTCAGCCCACTACCAAATGTTTTGTTGATGTTAGGCAAGTGAGATCCCTCTCCCCTGCACTGAGTACAGTAATACAGAACTATAATTATTATGGAAAAATCATTTTGTCCTTTTATCATTTGAATATAATAAAACCTAATGGAATAAATCAAGGGACATATTTTGCCTTTGCCTGTTTTCATAATCCTCATGATATTTTTATGATTCTCGCCATTTCCTTTAGTTTCTCTACAATGATTCCTTAAGCACTTTACTATTACAGCTTTTGGTGTATAGCAAACACTAAGGTTACAGTAGGGCTTTTGTTGTAACCCGCTCTTTTCACATATTCAAACTTTGTCGGAGATTTTCCTTTTGGGCTGAATGTTTTTAACATAGTTTCACCCAAAGATGATTTTAAAAAAATGCAAAATCTGTTTCCCATTTTTGAGTTGCTGGAAGGGTAATGATGTATAGTCCTGATTTTCCTTTATGCTAAGGCTCCTTTACATTGCCCTGACAGAGTAAAGGGGCCCTAATAACATTCCTACCCACTTGAAGATCCCTTTCCTCTCAGAATAGTGTCAAGGAGTCTTAATATAAATGAGATTTAGGGTCATATAATGTTTCCACTATAAAAAGATCAGGGTGAAACCCTGGCCCCATTCAAGTCAATTGGTATTTTGCCATTGACTTCAATGGGGCCAGGTTTTCACCCTGACACTTTTTGTACATAAATTTCTTTAAAAAATTGATGAACTTTTGGGAGCAGATCCTCAGATGTTGTCAAAACTATTTTGGGGGGGCGGGGGGAATGAAAAATGGCTTTTTGACAAAACAATTTTCCACAAAAATATTTTCATTAAAAATGTTCAGGTTATCATTGAAAAAATCAAAACTCAACTTTCTTCCAGTTTTAACCAACATGTTTTTTGTTTAAAAGTGGGGGGAAAAAATCACACTTTGATATTTGTTTTTATTTTTTGTCAAAAAAAAAAGTGCTAGAAAAATCATTGTTGCCTGACCAGCTCTATTAGTTAACACTTTATCTAATCTGTGTATTTAACAGAATTATTTGTTTCCTGATAGGTTTTCCATTACTGTATATTGGACACAAGTGATGTGTTGAATATTTTTTATTTTCAAATGATCATGATATTTATTTCCATCTCTATATTTATCCATATGTGTCATATTCAGCTGTAACTTCTGTACTGTGGAGGTAATAAGATTCGTCTGCTCCTAACACCCTTTTAATAGTTCATCAAAATAGAAAACCTGAAGTGTCTTAATGATATATGCATATGCTTGCAACTTTTATGAGAACTCTGCTGTATAACAATCTCCTGTAAAAGCAAACCTACTTATAAACAAACAGGAAAAAAAAGCTGAGACATACTGTATGAATAAAAGAACTGTGAGTGGAGAAGAAAGATTATTACCAGTTTCACTACTGTACACACAGTAAAAGCAACATTTGAAATAAATGTAATAGGCTAAATTATAGAAGCTCAGAGGCGGTGTACACTAAACAGAGAGAATCTCCAAGCCAACTCCTATCTTCTCCAGTGCATCTGCAGAGGAAGCAGCCAAATAATTTGGATTTGAATATGCTCACCCTAATTTTGAGTCTGATCTATGAATGTTTAAAAGAAATAAATATCTGTCCTGAAAAGTAAAATATGAATAAGTGGTAATATCACAATTCTTCTAGTGTTTCCAACTTGACATTTTTTTATTGTAGAAAACAGAGCTTGAGAGAATCTTCCATAACCTGTTCAGATAGTTTAGCTTTTTCTGTTTGTGAATTTTCCATGAGCAGCTGTTTTTTCAGACTTGTTTAGAGAATATTTTCTGCTAATAATTCTTGGTCTATAGATTGTGGATAATTCATTGAAATATTCATGATCTGAAATTCCATATTTGAACTGTGTTGGTTAGCTATGATTGAACATATAGGACCCAAGGGATTGTTTCTGTTTCCAGTTTGGATGAGCATAGCTCTTAGAATCAGGTTTTCAGTACAAGTAATTACATTTAGGAATCCAATGTTCACTTTCCATGAATATTTTGTAATATTGTGGATAGTTTTATCAATCATTTCTGTCAGTACATTTGTTTGATAGAATCTACATGGAAAGCAAACAGAAGGGGTGCATGAACACAGGCAAAGCACATTCAATTTTTTTTTATCAGAGCAAATATCCATGCAAAAAATATGTTCACACAACTCTACTATGAAGTCTTGTGACCTACAAAACTGCCCTCCTGCCTCTCTGGTAAACAACCCAAGGGAGATTATGTAGAAGTGGTAGACCTCACAGACGCTAATACTAAACAAGTGTGTGATAAGAATCAGGCCCGGAGACTCTCCATTAGTAGCACATATGATGCTACCTATAGAATAGTATTGCTTTGAGTCTGGTGCTTCAGTGCAATGGTGATATCTTCAGAACACAGAACTAGTGGATATTTGTTAGAACAAAATAACCCAGAGTTTCCTAAAACACAATGGAACTCTAGGACCTTTTTTACTTAAGCAAAGGACAAGTTTTGCAAATTGTATGGCATTATTTTCCTAATAGTCCAACAATCTAGTTTTCCATAATAAGCTACTTGGAGTATAATGGCAAAATAGCTCATTTAAACATGCCTGGAGGGATTTCTGGTGCAGATAATCTGTCAACATTATGCACATTTCATTGCCTGCAGAAGAATCCAAGAGATGAATTTATTCTTGACATAGAAATATATTTCAGTAGGGAGACTATTGTGTTAACTTCATATTGAACAGAAAGGTAGGTCCAGACTCTCAGTTGGGATAAAATGGCATAGTGCTAGCAAATAAAATGAAGCCACACCATCCTATGCCAGCTGAGAATCTAACCTGTAGTTTACAAAAGTGCATCACAAAATAGTGTTAAAAATTGTAAAAACAGAGCCCAATTTTCTGTTTAAGTTGCTGTCTAGTTAATGTTTATAATGTTTTTGTTGTTGCTTTTTTTAGGACCACCTCAGAGAACAGTGTCTCCCAAACAGGAACATGAAGAAAGGAAGCATGACAAAGTCACAGACAAAGGAAGCGAAAGTGGGACTTCCTGCAATGAGTTGTCCACCTCTAGTTGTGACAGCCATTCAGAGGCTAGCACCCCTCAAGAAAATGCTGCTAGCACCCAACAGTCAACAGCACACCAGCCAAATACTCTAACTTTGGATCGTCCATCAAAGAAGGCCCCATTGCAGTGGATGCCACCTCCAGACAAACGCAGGAACAGTGAACTCTTTCAAACTCTCATTAGCAAGTCTAGAGAAACAAATCTTTCTAAAAAGAAGGTATGTGAGAAGCTGAGTGTTGAAGAAGAAATGAAAAAATGTATTCAAGATTTTAAAAAAATCCATATTCCAGATTACTTTCCAGAGCGCAAACGGCCATGGCAGTCTGAACTCTTACAAAAATATGGGTTATAGTTAATTGCCTCCCTCATGAAGTATCTCTGGTGCATTTGATGTTTATTAAAGTTGCCACTATCCTACTGCTGTCCTCCTTATGGTCCACTCTGCAGTCAGAGTGATTCCTGCTGCTTATTTCTTTCTGTGAACAGTGGATGTTGGATAGTTCATGGTTTACTTAAAAAAAAAAAAAACAAAAACAAGATGAATCTGGTCTAAACCATTTTATATTAGTAAAACAAAATGTGCATGATCAAGAAAGTTGGTTTTCACACTATAATCATCTGGGATTCATTGTCATTTTGTAACTCATCAAATAAAAAACCCAATCATCAGATCACTGCTCACTTTATGTCATCAGTAAAAATGACTCAACCTTGCTATGGATGGAGAGAAACAGGGTTTTAAATTTGATAGGACTGGTTACAGAACCAAATCCCAATACTCTTTCAATGTTAATGCAATAAAGCAAATATCTATTTTGCATGAGCACAATGTTACAAATAAATCACACAAGAACAAGAGGTTTGTCTGTTGCTTGGGTAAATATTTGTTTAATGCCAAGCCTATAAGCGTAAAATGTCTTGGGGATTGAATTTGCAGATCTGTGATTTTTTTGTGTGTACAGTGTTCTGTATGTAAGGATGGTGTAAATATGCCTTATACTGTTTCATTATTGCACCAACATTCATCTATTAGTGCTTGTCAGAACTATTTCTGTGAAATGCAAACTTAATGGCAGATTGTGAAAACTGGTTTGATGGTCTGAAAGTTTCTGTTATCATGTTAGTCAACAAAATTGGAGAAAAATAAAAAAGACATTAATGTATTTATTAAAAAGAACCATCTGGTAGATTTTCTCGGCTATCATTGTCTTCTTTGAGTAGATCTAAGGCTAATTGTTACAATTTGTTCTGTGTTTGCATAACACTTCAACTCTGTTACTGAAAAAAACAAAAACAAAGAGAATATGTTTCAACAGCCGGTGAGTAAATGTTTGGGTGCTAGAGTTTAATTGGAGTTTTTGACAGAGACTCAGTAAGATCAACAGAACCACATTACTGATTTTAAAGCACACAACCAACTATGATAAAGATCTCAACCAGGAGTGCACTAATGTAATATTTTAACTGACCAAACAGAAAACAGTTCTGACAGCTATTGGAAAACTCCTCTTAAAATATTGGATTTCAAAATGTCAATAACCTGGTGCATTACACTTACAAATGATGAGTTTAGTATGAATATTCAGCTCTAGAGTAGACAAAAACGGAATTCATAAACCAGATATGAAAATCAATATCTTTTTCAATATAACACAAAATCTCTGGTTAAAACAAACATGTTTTGAATCTATAAAAGTGTTGCTGGAGCATGGAGGAGAGCTTCTAAAGAATTGGCAAATGTGTGCAAAAGCATTAATAATTATTAATACTATTATAATCTCATATATATATATATATATATATATATAGTTATGAAGATCTATAGATGTTCTTACAGCAATGTAGGAAGACATAATTCTGTTCTTAATGATCATTTCAGCTAAATTTAGTAAATAAGGGTTGTAAACACCAGGATCATCCCCATCACCTTTGCAGCCTATGAGTCCTCTGATATAGCAGGTCATTTTTTATGAAAAACTGCATATTCTTGATAGCAGCTCAGCAGCTTTATTCCTTCAGAAGGCATAATCACTATGTAAACCTAGTAACTATCAAGTTAAAGGTCTTATTTATTATCTTTAATGCGCTCCATGATCTGGGACCAGAATGTCTAAAAGCCCATTCACAGCTCCAGGATGAAGATCACGATTAACAAGTACACTCCTCTGGCACAATGGAACTCTCCGATAAGGGTAAAGCTTGTCTGTGCAAGAGACAGAGATTTCTTAGGGTCTGGTCTGGGTCTGTGAAATGAACTCCCGCAGGAACTAAAACCCATCACAAACCTCCTCACTTTCCGCTCCAAGTGCAAGATGCATTTCTTTGACCCTGCCTTCTCTAACAAACATATATATATATAAACCAACAAAAATACCAAGAGAACCCCATCAAAACAAATATAAGCCCCAGAGAACAAGGTTTTCAAAAAAGCCCTCGAGGCCAGATTTTCAGGTGCTCAGTGCACATAATTGGAACCAGATTTTCAAAAGTACTCAGCTCTGAATAGCTCCAATAGTGAAACTTATGGCCAGATGTTCAAAAAAACTCACCCAGTGTGCTGAGCCTTTCTGAAAATCTGGCTTCTTATTTTGGTGCATAAATAGGAGCAGAATTCTTGTGAAAATCTGGCCCCAGGTATGGACTCTGACATTTTTTTTTGAAACTCTGTCCCCAAATGCTATGAGAACAGTTGTCCAGAGAGACCATCTTTTTCTGTGCAATACTGCCACAGTTAGAGCAGGTGAAGTGCTTGGACTAGAGTCCCCTGTATACGACGAGTGAGGCATTCATTGTGAGGAATTCTTGACTTTGGAATTCACTTCTGTCCACAAATAAAGCTGGTCAAAACTCAGAATTTCTGTTCAATGGGAAACTGACATTTTAAAAAACAATTGTACTGAATTGGAACAAAAGATAAAATTTTGAAATTTTCCACAAAATCAAATTAAATAAAGCTGTTTTGGGTCAATCAAAAGGTTTGATTTTGATTTCAACATTTTATTTTTATTTCATTATTTATTTTCAATGTTATGTATTCTTTTTGCTTTATTTTATATTAAAATTAGGATTTAATGAATTCTAATTTATAATAATTGGTGATTGATATTCGGTTTATTTGGTATTGTAATAGATATTGTCATGGATAATGGGTATTTTAAATGGTATTCTAAATTCTAACAGAGTCCCACATGGAGCAGTTGTCAGTCCAATTCTATTTAATATTTTTATCAACAATCTAGACAATGATTTAAAATCTTAGCTGGTACAGTTTGCTAATGACACAAAGATTGGTGGGGTAGTAAATAATTAGGAGGATGAATTGCTGTTAGAGTGACCTGAATTACCTGGTTAAATGGTCAGAAACCTGAAAAATACATTTTAATTCAGCCAAATGTGGGTTAATACATCTGGGAACTAAGAATGCAGGTTATTCCTATCAGATGGGAGACTCTATTAGAAAGCATTAATTCAGAGAAGGACTTCAGGGTCACCATAAATATTTGGCTCAACATGAGATTTCAGTGCAATGCTGTGGCTAAAAGGGCTAATGGGATCCTTGGATGTATAAAAAGGGAAATATCAAATAGAAGTGGGGACATGATCTTGCCTCTGTAAACAGCACTAGTAAGACAGTTACTAGAATAATGTATCCCATTCTTCTGTCTACACTTCAAGAGGGGTATTGTAATACTGTGGAGAGTTCAAAGGAGGGGCCACAAAGATGATTCAGGCAGGAGCTGGAGAACAAGCTTTACAATATGAGGATTAAGGAGCTCAGTTTATTGAAGAGACTGTTGAGATGTGATTTGATCACTGTGTGTGTAGATACTTATACATGGAAAATACAGTAGGTGGCTTTTCAGACTTGCTGACAAAAAGCATAACAAGATCCAATGGCTGGAAGGGGGACAAATTCAACCTTGAAATAAGTCACAATTTCAGAGCAGTGAGGGTAAACAAACATTGGAACAGCTTGCCAGGGGAGGTAGTGGACTCACCATCACTTGGTGTTTTTAAGGCAAAATGTTTCTAAAATATATGCTTTTGTGTAGTTTCTGAGCAAAATTATAAGGCCTGTGTGCGTGGGCAGGGAATTGGGCTGCTTGGTCCCTCCTAGCCTTGGAATCTGTGAATTTATGAGACCTCCTGTTCATCCCCTTCCACGATGGGCTATGGGGAGAATGGGATTGCCTGTATTGCCCTCAACATGCTCATAATGCTTGTAGCCCTGCATTAAGACAATGACTAAAATCAAATCTCATGCTTCAGGGTTTCAGACTGTCATCTGCAGGGGTCACGAAGGAATTTTTTTCTCTTGGTACATAGTTGGCTAGATATATTATGCTGGAGATGGGACACCAGATGGACTGGACCATTGTTCTCAGGTTGTACAGAGAATTCTTTTTCTTAGATGTCTGACTGTTTTGCTCACATGCTCAGGGTCAAACTGACTGCCAGATTTGGGGTGGGAAGGAATTTTCCCCAGATTAGATTATCAGGACATTTTGGTGGGGGTGGAGGATGGGAGTAGGGATTGCCTGCTGGGAACACCAATGCCAGGCGTCTTAGAGGGAATGAACAGAACAGGTAATCATCAAGTGATCCTTTCCCAGTCACTCATTCCCAGCTTCTGGCAAACAGAGGGTAAGGACACCATTCCTGCCTATCTGGGCTAATAGCCATTGATGGACCTAACTAGAGGATCACAGTTGTCCCTTCTGGTCTTATAAAGTATGAAATTTTATATACTGTACACACACATACACACAAACAATCTCCTACAAAAGCTGGAAAACACAATTGGAACATATTTGATAACCTGGAGACAATGCTGAGTCAATTCTGAGAGATGCTGAGTGCCTTCAACTCAGTTCTTAGGAGGAGCTCAGAAATTCTGAAGAGTTTCTCAGCACTTTGCAGGATCACAATACTGGTCTGGTTCCCTGTAAAGACAGTGTTTATGTACTACATCAGCTTATATAGTCCAGGCCATCAAATATCTTCACTCCTTCAAGATCTGACCTGGAAAAACTTTGTAAACTTCTATCTAAAAGCAATTTTTCTCCTATATACTATTTTCTCCACCCACCTCTCCTATGTTTTTCATAGTTACTAAGGACATTCCTGTGATCAGTTTTTTACTTACGAGCTTATCTGTTCTGTACTTGAGGTTAAATTCAGACTTTAAAAGGTATTGCGGAAATAAATAATGATGGAGAGGCTGTGAGGGGGTGGGTAGAAGAAAAGGGGGCAGGTTTGGGATGTTGCCAGACTGAACTCAATCAGAGCTGGTGAAAGAAGACAAGGCACAGTGTAAAGTCACGTGTAGCAGCATACTGAGAGTCCAAGAAGCACTTGTTCATAATAATAGGCAGCAAGTACATTCAGCATGGTCCAATCAGCCAAAGCAGTGAACCATAAAGGCATTTTTCAAAGACAAATGAGCAACTTACACTAGCAACCTTAGGTCTGCTATCAACATTGGTATTGGTATTTTGCTGGAATCACTAGGATATGCACAGCCGGTCTACTGTTCAGATATCAGATTGCAATCAAACCCTCTATATGCGTGTTTGTACACCATAGGACATTGTAGTTTTCATTTACTTCTGAGGTATAACTTACACATACCTCATTAGACTTGCACTACTCTTTGCCATCACATCTCAATGGGATCCATAATCTTTCGTTTGTTGTATCATAACTATTTCCACTGAAATCAATTCTGATGTCACAATTGGTGAAATCCCACCTTTTGTGTATTCAAATTTGTGGAAGGGGAGGACAGATCTACCGACCCTGGATCCCTGCTGTTTCATCACAGCGTTCCTTCTCAGAAACGGCCCACAGCGGGACTGATCCAGGAGGGGGAATTGCCAGTAAAAATTATAGATGATTCACAGGGAACTACCTTGAAGTTCTCTGGGCTTCCATCTGTCTAGAATCTTGCTCAGCAAGTCTCCTAGCACCCATTCCCATCAACTGCACTGACTTGTACCACATCTAACCCCCACCCTGCACGCACCACCGCATGTGCAAGCAGTAGAAGGGAAGTACAAATACATTGCAATTTATTATTAAATTAAAAGAAATAATATTTTGCTGACCAGCTATTCCCCTGACACTCCTTCTGTCCCTGGCCAAGCCTCCCTTCAGCTAAGCTCTACGGTAGATGGCACAAAGGGTAGCAATGAGAGGTGGGGGAATGCAACATTGT